GGTGTCCTGCATATTCATTTTATATTGAGCCCCACAAATTATGTAGCCAGATTTGTCCAGAGTAAGAGTTTTTTTTTATTGTTGACAGTATTACAGTTGTCTCCCATGTTCTCCCTTTTTGCTCCCCTCCACCTAACTCCACCCTATCCCAGGTCTTCCCTATGCTATTGTGTGTCTATGGGTTATTCATATCAGATTGAGCACTTTTAAAACATAAAGTTCACCAACCACTGGGAATTCTGAAACAGAATTTTTCAAATTTAATTATGCATAAGGATATTCCAGAGATCTTCATTTTTCTCTCATCCCATCCCCTAAATATTCTGATTAAGTCTAGGTGGGCTTCCAAATCTGCATTTTACAAGCATCCTAGATGATTCTACTGAAACTGGTTCACCAACCATACTTGGAGACATACTGGATACTTAGAGGCATAGATTCTGAAGCCAGGCAGTCTAGGGTTTGCATCCTAGCTTCGCCACTAACCTTATGGCAACTAACGTGCATATCTAAACCTCAATTAGTTCATTATAAATGGGAATATTAATACCACTCCCCAATGTCTTGCATTAAATGTACATAAAACACCGAGCACAATGATTAGTCCATAGTAAGCAATAAATGTTCCAAAACAATTAAGAAGATTGTTAAGTCTAGCTGGTGGCTACACTGGGGTTTATTATATTATGTGAGTTTTCCTATATTTTTACAACTTTTCAAAATAAAACGCAACAGCTAGAATGAGAGGGAAAGCTCGAGTATGGAAAAGGGGTCAGAAGCTTGCAATGAGTCAGCTCCCTAGGTCTCCAGGTAGGAGGCTGGGTGCTTCACTGTCTAAGATTTAGCATGCATTCAGTAACTTGAATTCAGAACAAAAAGAATCTTCACTAGAACATGTCCCAAGGACATTCTCAGATTCACATTGAAAGGAACTGACCATTTCCTTCCCCTAGTTTATGAATAGGCTTACTCCTGGGTCTACGTATACTCTAGTAAAAAGGCATCTATTCACAAGAGCTAGTTAGCGCCCACAAAGGGTTTACCAAATGTTGAGTGTGCCCTCTAGTGTTCACCTTCTCAGCTTTGTTCCTTAAGTGGTGGATCAAGGCCCTTACTTACATTGGAAGTGAAATTCTCCAAGTTTATCTAGTCATTGATGTGGTAAAAATATTCATTGTCCACTCTGATTATGCAATGAATGTGCAGATGAAAGACTGGAATGACCTCTTATCTAATAATGCCCAGGCTCAAAGCAACACCCAAACACCTTTATCCACTGTGTCCCAAAATAAATAGAACTTTTAGGACAAAGGCAGCTGACACATCCAGCCAGGGGCAGTCAAATATGGTTAGGAACAGTGGAAGGAGTGCATGAGTCTTGCTCTTCCTCGTTGCCTGGATGGCCATAAACGTAGCCCTTATGAAGGCTATAGGTCTCGTTTCATAATATTCCTGTTTAGAAAGGGCTTGAAAAGACCTTTAAAAAGCAATAGTTTTTCTCTTCAAATAACCTGCAGCAAAAAGATTTCCTCACACATGGACAGGAGACTCAATAATAACTACTGATCTCAAGGAGTCAAGTCAGTGCATTTCTCAATGTACAATTCGTGCCATCAGAGAATCTGACTCACCTGGAAGTGGAATCTGAGGGCCCCAGATCTCCAAAAGAAGCTGTTCCCTCATATTCGCTTCATCTAGAGCTCCCCCTGGCTCCATTACACATTCTCTTCAAGACAGTTACAGAAATGGCTTTTTTGATTGTTCTCCGGAAACACTAATTCATCTGCAATGCTGACACTTTCCAGAAACACTGCAGGTCTGCCAGCGCCTAGAAGCCAACTTTTGCCTGCTCCTATAAACAGCACACATATTTATTTTGTTCTGAATCAAATATATTATGTAATAAGATTCATAATTTTGTTTCCACAGGTCGTTCTGAATGATAAAATGGGTGCATACTGTGGAGGCTCCATTGTTAATGAAAAATGGGTCGTAACTGCAGCCCACTGTATCAAACCTGGTGTTAAAATTACCGTTGTTGCAGGTAAATAAACAAAAAAGGATAGTAGTCTGCAGCATCACTAGATCTTCTATAAAACTAGTATATTTTACCAGGGTCTAATAAGATCATTGTTAAATAAGTTGGGCTACTGGTAGTGAAGCCATATTTTCAAAATCCAACTTGTTTCATCCTCCAAGCACCCCAGAGCTATTTTGGTGTACCTTTATTAGCACTCACTTCAATGGGGGACAATTATTGGTGTCTCCACTTCCCTACCAGGCTGATCTTTGTATCTCTGGTGCCTTGCACAACCTGTAGTGAGCCCTCAGCTAACATTTGAATGAATGACCAAATGAATGTATTATCTGTGAGCAAAAAGGGGTAAAAATATTTGAAATTGGGAAAGACTAGAAGAATTTGACACGTAGATTATCACCTGTGAACAATGTAAGACTTGTAATAGCAAGGGTGAATGGAACCATCTCTATGATGGGTCCTGAATCACTTTTTGGTCTGAAAAGTATGCATTGGCCTCATTACATCTTACGCAAATCATACCAATGTAAGGTTGAGATCTTTGACACTTGGCTGCCAGTTATTTCAGTGACGCCAAGTGGACCCTTTGAAAATCTGTTTATGTGAAAGACTATTTGTGACTGAAGAAAAATTTATTTTCAATGGATGAAATGCCAGTTAAGTAAGTGATGCTAGGTGGGTACTTGGAAAATGTGTCTCTATGAGAAACACAGTGACTGAAAAAGAAATGTTTTCAACAGGTGAACATAACACCGAGGAGGAGGAACATACAGAGCAAAAGCGAAATGTAATTCGCGCTATTCCTCACTTCAACTACAACGCAACTATTAATAAGTACAACCATGACATTGCCCTTCTGGAATTGGATAAACCCTTAATGCTAAACAGCTATGTAACACCTATTTGCATTGCTAACAGGGAATACACGAACATCTTCCTCAAATTTGGGTCTGGTTATGTGAGTGGCTGGGGGAAAGTCTTCAACAAAGGGAGATCATCCCCAATTCTTCAGTACCTTCAAGTTCCCCTTGTTGACCGAGCCTCATGCCTTCGCTCCACAAGGTTCACCATCTCTAATTTCATGTTCTGTGCTGGCTTCCATCAGGGAGGTAAAGATTCATGCCAAGGAGATAGTGGGGGACCCCATGTTACTGAAGTGGAAGGCATCAGTTTCTTAACTGGAATTATTAGCTGGGGTGAAGAGTGTGCGGTGAAAGGAAAATATGGAGTATATACCAAGGTATCCCACTACGTCAACTGGATTAAGGAAAAAACAAAGCTCACTTAAAACTGTAGTTCCAAGTTTGACATATTTGAGATTGAAAATGAACAAGGTCTTTTACTAACTAATCACTTTCTCCTCTCATCAGATTTGAATATATACATTTGGTGAATATTGCTTTTTGTCTTTATGGGGAGAAATTTATCTAGAATTGACGTTTCCTAGAATAAGTAGATTAGAAAATATAATCACTTGAGAAATATACTGTGATAAGTATTTGGGACCATGAAAAAATTGTGAAGTTAACTTCTTCATCCTGCTCATCCGGCATATTTCTCCACTGAGGCAATTCCCTGATTCTCCCTCCTTCATAGCATTCCATGTTCCAGATCTTTCTTACCTCTACTACCACAACGTCAACATGTATTAGATCCATATCCAGGATATTTGGTCTAGTCCACCACAAGTCCAACATCACACTCATAAAAGAAGAACACAGGAGCAGCTGACAGGTTAAAACTCATCAGAAACACTACTTCTTTTTCTGTACCCTTACTTCTGCATCCTTTATCTTTTACAACTTCTAATCTCCAAATCAGTTTCTCTCTCTTTCCCTCTCCCATTTTCCCTACACATAGAAGAGGGAAGGGAAGCATCAGACTGCTTTACTGGTATGCACAATGATATGTCTATCAAACCCAGACTTGCCTTCAGTTTAGTCTTGGATTTGCTTATCTAAGCATAGGGATGAAATAAGGCCTAAAGAACCTGGAGGAAAAGTTCCTCTCAGAGTCATGTTATTAAAATACATATATAATGGAAGGAATGACTTATCAGAATAGTTCCCTAAGAGCTTGTAATTGTGTTGTTATGGAGGTCTGACTAGAAATGGTTCTACGAATTCAAACTGACATGGCATTTTAACTAAGAATGCTAAAAAAAATGTTAACAGTTTGCAATCTAGAACTAGTAGAGTCTGCAAGGCAGAATTCATCAGTGTATCTCCAGTGCTAACCAGGGCTAATGAAGGAGTTGCCCAGATCACAGAATATGAGCATCATGTCCCCCTAACCAGTGTATCCCCACAGTGGAGAAGGGTGCAAAAGGCTCACAGACATGAATCATTCCAATGAGCCAATTAACTCCTCTTTTACTGGTTTCATACCCACCAAACAACTTTTTAAAATAATCAGGCCTTCTATATAGAATTTTCTAGAGTGTTGCTGACCAACCAACACATGCACTTCAATCGGACAGAATAGTTCCCTTTATGAATAAACTGATGTTTTGGTTCATACCTTGGCTTTTTTAACTTGGTTGATATGAATTGGTCACCCCAGCCAGGCCACACTATTGCTGATTTCTTTCAAGTTATTCCAGTTAATGCTCTAGTCTTTCAAACATAAATATCAATAAATGTATTTTTTAATTTCTCAAAAAGTGTTTGTTGTTAAATCATTCACAGAAAAGGATCCCAAACATTACATTCAGCAAAACAATCAGAAGAATGTGTCCAAAAGCAATACAACACATTAGAGAGCTGATGCTCTATTATCACTCAGCTTTTATATGAGGCAGTGTGGATCCAACTGGGACAGAACTCAGTTTAAATAGCTGTGAATATGGTTTTGAATAAGTCACTCCATATTTTGGGCTTTGATTTCTCCATTTGTGTAATGAGGGAGTTTTACAGGATGCTGTCCAAAGGCCCTTGTTGACCTTGATACTCTGATTATATTCCTTTATTAAAAAAACTATTCAAGGAGGGATTACTGTGTGCCACACACCAATAGTGTTCATTAAATTTGAATCCACATTTATGTATTTCGTGTTAACTAAAATAATGTATGTAAATCGCTTTGACAGTGCCTACTACATTAATACACAGTAGATGCTCAATAAATGTTGACTCTGAATCCATATTTATTCCAGAGTAGGAACGAGTCTTGTATTGAGTGTCACGAAAAGAGGCCATACTTAAATGAGTGGGACTGAGGTTTCATGAAAAAAAAAAAAAAAAAATCAGTCCTGCTATTGTTGGCTAAAGGAGGGAAAGAGAGAGGAGATGCTCTAATTGTCTGCCTTAGGTTTAAGGAGGATACTAATTAATGCATGAAAACATGTTACTTCAAATTTGAATGACTAAAGGTCTGTAGACCAGTGCTCTGCAACTGGTAAAAGTGAGCCACCCTGGCCTTGTTGCCATGGAGACCACCCCTTACAAAGGCAGCAGTGGTTGGTATACCCTGTGGCAGACAGAGGAGCTTCTGGGCTCATAAATCGCTAAGCCAGTTATCCACTTTACCATGAGTTTGGAAATGACTGAATGGATCATGAGCCACCTGTAGCATGCTGCCCCATTAAACATGTGGATCCTTTAAGCCCACCTAAGAGCCAGCAGCTTCAGAGCTGGGCCCTCACTAGATTCTACATAGGGCATTTGCAGCCACTACATAAGAATCATTAGTGCTTTCAAAATTACTGTAACTACTTAACCTCAATGGGCTGAAACATGCTGCTGCAATATTGAAAGTGACAGGTTAAAATAGAACTCTTACTGAGTGAAAGTGTGTTAATATAGTGTAGTCATTTTAACTTGCTGTTTAAGTATTACTGGTTTTGGTTCTTTTTGAATATTAGTTTCTTCGTGATCACAGGAACTAAGTCAAGTCCAATTTTCTCTTGCAAGGGAAAAAGTATGGCTTTTCTCCCGTATTCTCCTGAACTGACAGACCAGTTCACAAAACTGCTTCAGTATAATTTTGCAGCAACTTCTGAATGCAATCTAACAACATCCAATCTAAGTATGTCAGAGCTGCAAAGGCCCTTAGACACTATCCAAACCACTCTGCCCATTTAACAGTTGAGGACATTGAGGTCAAGATAAGTCCAGGCCCAAAGTGACAGTGGCAGAGTCAAGTCTAGAACTCAGTTCTCCCATTACATACTATGAAAGCATAGTGCTTTCAATTGGAGCACTGTCTTTATTTTTAGAGCAGCTGGGGAATTCTGCATTGGTGGCAATCCTTTCAGCAAACCTGGGACTGAAAACTACCTGTAATTCTAATTATTCTTGACAAACAGGTGACAAAATCAAGACGACCAACAGCCTGAAAAGCAGAGTGGCAGCCAAATAACAGACTGGAGCTACAGCCCCTGACTCATAGCAGGCACTCAGTAAATACACTGTGCTGCTAGTGTCTGGCTTTTAACCCAGCTATGAGCACTGGGCCTTGCAGATGTGACATTTGACTTCTACAGTTCATCAGTGTTATCTGGCACAGTCATTCAAGCAACATTTCAAACAGCTTCATTGCAACTCTGCTGGGTAAGACATATGTGGCACACTGAGGCAGCAGACTACTCCAGAAGCTATTGCTTGGGGGTTGAAGAAAGGCTTCAAAGACCCACTGAAACTGGGATTCTGACAATGCAGTGCAGGCATGGGTGACTGGGAAACAGACTTCAGCGGTTGACAGGCCTGCCTGGGCAAAGTACTCAGGAATCAGGGCTCTTTTTGAATCTGAAGCTTATGCTGTCTTGAAATGTCATGATTAAAGCTACAAAAACAAGCCTGTTCTGCAAACTATGCAGGCCACTGATGGAGTCACAGCAGGCAAAAGACTGTCGCACCCCTACCCTTTTCAACCAGTCCAGGTACAAAGATCACTCTACTCATTTTTTCTAATAGTACTTTCAAGGGAGACCTTTTTTACCCTGTCTTCAGGGTTATGGTTTGCCTCGAGAGTGCCAGAGTTTCTCTCAACCTCTACTGTGAATAAAGGTATCAGAAGGGAAGAAAAGCATGGAGACCCTTTCTTATACAAATAGGTAAATAAGAGGTAATGGCTTCTGAAACAGACCAAAGTTTCTCCATACCGTCACAGGGCAGTAGCATTTCAAACCACTGGACAGATCATTTCACTCTGGTAAGAGAGTTACTCTCTTGGTTGAGAGGCAGATGAAAATAGAACAGAGGTAGTCCTGATTCCAAAAACTTCAAAAGATTGCTTCATTGCAATGTTAAATATGATATCCTAATCTATACAAAGTTGCCAGTGTAGTAAATCTCCCAGATGCTGTCATTCTTAAAGTTTTAGAAATCCTTTAGTCTATAGCTTCTCCAGATCAATAGCCATGAACTGGCTTAAGTGCTGACCTCATAAAGAAAAAGAGGTCTCACAATTTACACATTACATGCTTTAGTAAATATCTATATATAAAAATCTATTTCCCTCTTGGAATATATTACAAAAATAAGCATGCATTTTCATATTAAAACTCAGCTCTAAAAGTAAAAAGCCAAATTAAGAATAAAATGAGTCTCTGAGAAACTCAGTTCATGCTTGTTAATGAACCAATGTATAAATGAAATGGAAGAAAAATGCTATTACTGACCACACCAGTGCAAAGCTCAGTCCTCTAAGGTAGGAATGAGATAGTCGTCCTGAACACATAAGGGAATATGCCATGGGAGGGGTGGCAGACAAATATAGAGAGACCTCCTACATTCATTTTCTTCCCAGGACATAAAAAGGAGTTATCACTAATTTCCAGGAAATGTAAAAAAAATATTAGCTTAGCTTAAAGGCCATGGTTACAGCCCTGACCTTTTCCTCTCCTGTTAACATTTATTGCTTTTGTTTGTATTTTCCAAAGCTGTATTAACCTTTTTTTGTCTATGCTTTGTATCTTCATTTTGGTAGGTATTTAGTGGTTATACCTTGTTTTTTTGAGTTAGGTCTTGGGTTTCATTTGGATTTTGAAGTTTTATATCTGAATTAAACTGTTATTTTTGGCCACAGGGACTTAATTTATCTCAATACACCTCCCATATTATTGATATTCTTCTATATGTTCTTTCTAGAGTTCTAGATGGTCATGTTGAAGATGAGAATCTCTGCTTCCTTAGTTTAGAAAATGTAAATTTGGGTAATATATGTGCTAACAGGATAGCTACACATTACCTAAAGGTGGGTTATAATTTATAAATCTTAGCACACTCCAAAAAGGAATTTCACTGAACACTTACTATGTGCCTAAACACTTTATCTGTTTCCTAAGACAGAATCAGTGGTGTGCTGGAACTGACTTATACCAACTCCTAAATGCCAATTTTGCACATCTCTTTCCAACTCCCAGTTCAAAAACTTCATGTCAATAGTTTGGTAGAGATATTTACACCACATATATTGACAGATGCTACAAAATACACACTTTTAAGGAGACCAAGTTGTTAAACATTTACCGATGCACACAATCTAATTATTTGACCAAAA